ATATATAATATTGGGATAACTAGGAGTGGACTCTCCCTTGAGCGGCACTCCTTAGGATAAGGAGGGTTGGTCGGCCCCTCCCAACTCCTGAAACAAACCTGTGCAGGGTTCCCCCAAGAGCCCTGCATCAATAACTCTATTTTTGTGATCCTTTGACAGCTTCTCCACTGTAATTTTTACTCAAAACATAATTTTATGGCTTATCGTTGATGGCATTCCATTTGGTGGTTCCAAAAACTTTTAGTTTGGTGCTTCTACAAGTTCCTATTATATCTACTTGCAAAATAACATTATTACAATTCAGCTCTAAAAATCTCTCTTCAATAACTCTTACAATGAGCCTTCAACATTTTTTTGGCAATTATTTCTACAAAGGATGTTTGAGGATTGTTGAATGGCTTTCTTCAGCTTCAACATTTATCACTCAACTCTTCTATGAGAGTTTTTTTTGGTTAAAATTTTTGAGAGCATACAATATTTTAGTTAAGGTACTACACAAAAATTTCATCCTCATTTAATAGAACTTTATTAACTGTTCCAGACATCCTATATTGATGCAATCCATTGTAATAAATCATAGCTCTGAGTCATAAGTCAAAACTATTAATTATAGCTAATTAGTAGATCTAAGTGCTTAGCATATAGTACCAATAATTGATTTAAGAAAAGTGATTGTCATTAGTATAAAGCAGATAGGGGAGGGAGGGAGGAATATAACAAAGTCAATTAAGTTCTTATGATTCTATCATCTTGGGTTGTCATAGAACCCGATATACTTAGTTAACATAGGTACTCGATCAAACCTAACAAAAACATTATTGATTCTAAAATTTTGTAATCTCAGGTTGTTATAGAACTTGTGGTTTGCTTAATAAACAAAAGTAGCACATCAAACCTAATAAAAACATCCTTTTCATCAGTCACTACTAGTTTAGTTCAACAAATTGAAGATTACAGATACTAACATGTGCACTATAATTCACCACTCAAGAAATTTTGATTATTGGGAAGCTTATGAGCTCTGGCTAATGTCATTTTCCAACAAATGACTCAATCAGAAAGTTTTGTCATAACCATATCTTTTGTGATACCATTTAGTAATAAAATCACATTATCAGAAAATACATTATGTTCTTACTACATAAAATCTTTGAAAATGATCATTGAAGAAAGCATGATATGATAATGGCTCTTTAAGAGCTCATTTTAATATCAAAATTATTACTATCGAGAAATTGTTGCAAAAATAAATGAATTATTGCCCTTGGTTTAAAGCAATGAATTTCACTCAAGCATTTTGATTTTTTTTTCTTGATTTAAGAGAATTTAGGTAGATTCAGCTTAGATTAAGATATACTTGTAATAAGACCATCATCAGGATAAATTTCTTTAAGTATTTGTGTTTATAATTGAAATAATTTTATAGAGTGGACCCTCTGAATATGCTATGCAAAAACAGTCCAACATAGGATAAAATAATTATTGAACTTAATTGTTTAAAATATTGTCAACTCAAACCAATAAACTAACCATAATCAATCAAGTTCATGATTTGCATTACTTGTTTGTTTAAACATTCATTATAATATGAATGCATTGATTTACCAAATTGAACTCTCGACCTACTATGCAGGTGAAATGGCTCAAAGAGTTTGTCCCTTCAAACTCATATTTTTCAAAAATTAAAAAAGGAAATGAAGTTTGTAATGAAAACAAAGAAAAAATAATTTGGTAAAATAAAAAATGGCGTCCATTTGTTCGATTAGATAGAAATTAAAAATTAAACTCACTGTCCATTTACAATTTTGTTGAAATTTATTATTTGATTATTATCAAAAATAAATATTAATCTTGTCAACTTTAGTTCTTAAGATATGAAAGTTTCTTAAATGGGACATGATCCTACACTATAAATAGGGTAGTTCACTCAAAAAATACAGTTAATGTATTGATGAGTCTATGTTTTAAATTTAAATGACTTCGCAAATTTTCAAAATGGTTGCGCTTTTGAATGATTGCACGTTTCATGAGGCAAGGCAAGTTCAAATTCATCTCAGGTTTAGCTCACACAACATGTTCTACTGTTAAGTTTAAATGCTTAACATGTTTGTTGTGGCACATGCAAGTATGTTTTCTTATATAAGAGCACCCAGAATGTTGATCTTAAGCTTAGAAATTTTTGTACCTTGTACCTACCTATTATATAGCCCATGTGAAAGTTCAATTTGAAAAATCCTAACAATTCAATTATTTGTGAGAGTATTTTATCATTACAATATGCAAACATTTTACTGAGTTTCAATGATTGCATTCTATCCACTCATGTGTATACATTGCAGATATAAAAGCAGCACATGTTTCTTTCTTTAGAGTGAATCCTCATCCATTCCATTACATACACAGAGGTGGTGCAGCAAAGCTTCACACAGTCAGCTTAGGTTTTGCCAATCCATGTATGCCAAATTTCTCTGACAGCTTACGACCAACTAAGCAGCCCTCAAAAGGGCCCTCAATGCAACAAGAGCAAACCAGGAGCTCGCCAGTAGCCTTGTATGCTGCATAATGTCAAAGTTAACTCGTTCAAGAGAGATAGTTTTGGGAAACAATGAAAAGCAAGCCATGTGCACAAGAAAAAAAATACAGGAGATCATTGCAAATAACTCTAGAAGAGTTACATATGTGAGAGGAGGAGAGGGTTGAAGAGGTTTACACAGGTTTTGTGTTGCAAGGTTCTCAAGAAATTTTCTCTTTTATATATATATATATATCGATGCCTCCAGCAAACTCCCATGCAACTTCCTAGTTTCTTTGATCGCAATGGGTTGCAAAGTATTTGGAGCAGCAGAGTGGGAGCAGTGCAGGTAGCGGGCAAGGCAAGGGGGCAACATGTGAGAAACGAGAGTGAAAGTTTGATGGTTCAACTGAGAGAGTAAGTGATCAAACATTCGAGAGATGAGAGCAAGCGGCAGATTGAGCAAGAGAGATAGGAGATCAACACTGAGTGCAAAAGAGAGACTTGAAGCTAAATTAGGAAAATGAGCTAGCAAGTTCTACGAGAAGAGGGGTTTAACATTTTCTTTTATTTTCATGATGGCAACAGGATGGGAGATAGGATATGGGATAAGATTTTGCCTCAATAAATAATAGAGTGCAGAATGGAGCTGAAATTGATAAGGATTTTTTATTTGATTAATTTTTTCTAATATAAAATAATGCTTTTTTTATATTAAAAAAAAAAGTTCATGCGGTATGGGCATTTTTTTGGGTGATGTCAACGTTTTGAAAGCACCAGCATAACCTATTTTATAAAACAAGCAATAATTGAGTAATTATGATATAAGCAAAGCATTTTGAGTTTGGCTTTCATAATGTTGTGTCTGTATTCTGTCATTTTTGTTATGCTCAATCAAAGCTATAAAGAGCCATTTTTAGTGATTTTATTGTACACATTGACTGCTAGTAACTTCATTCTTCCGAATGTATTAATATAATCCGTTTCATAAAGCAAGCGAAGTATAAGTGACTTACAAGGTGATGATGCCTTTAAACAAAATAGTGCAATATGAAGACCATTATCGTTCGTTTCACTAAAATTCAATGGATTTTTTACATGATCACTATCAACATCAACAGCATATTGAACTTTAGTTAGCACTCTACCACAATTAATAGCTATCCTCTCTAGTCACTAATCCCTAAATTCTTATCTGACTATCAACCAAAACAAAAAAAAAATGGAAAAAACACATTTGAAGGACTTCTCCTATGTTCTTCTTTGCTCTCTATACTTTGTAATTGAAAATGGAAAAAACACATTTGAAGGACTTCTATGTTCTTCTTTGCTCTCTATACTTTGTAATTGATCAGGAAGTGTAGTTAATGTTAATCAAATAAACGAAAATAAGATTTCCAAAAGATGATCATATTTCAATATTTTTGCATGTCTTCTGTGATCTTAAAGATGTAGTCAATAATTAATAAAGCATATTTTTTCAGTTAAGTTCCACCTTATTATGGGATTTAACCAAAAATAACAATTACTTGTCAAAGACTACGAACTTGTGCCTTGTAAATTTTTTTTACTTGAATGACTTTTTGCATCGCATATCAAATCTGAATTAAAATTTCTAAACCCTAAGATGCCATTCATCACAACATAATGATTAACGTTTTTAAGAAATGCATGAAATTAGATAAAATAGTTGGCAGTATAAAGAAAAAAGAAACAAATTAAGTTGCAGCATTTTGACATTTTAAAAAACAAGGGACAATATCACAATGTCATATCGCAAAACTATGGTGAAAAGAAATCATGTTTAACATAAGAGTGGGAGAAGGAACTTAATTTCACTCTCCACAAGCAATTTTACTAGGAAAGATGATCATACTAATGATGGCTCATATTCATATATTGCACACCAAGCCTCTCAGAATAGAAAAAAAATACTGAAGAAAAGGTTGAGCATAAAAGTCACTAACTACAGGAAAATTGCTCGCATAAGCAGACTCAACATTTTAACATTAATTGCTAGGAAAGACACCAAGCACCTAGATAGAATCTCACCATGGCCAAACTGTTAAACATCCAATTCGCTAAAAAACCAAAAGTATGAAATTTTCATTTGTAAGCCCATGCTGTTAATCTTTCATGGAAATGCCATAAGAGCCACTAAACAACGAGAGAAAAAACATATCGCAGCCAAGAAATCAATAGATGTCTAAATGCCTACAGCATAAAGCAGTTAGAAAACCAATTTAGTCACCAAATAAAGATAGAAGCTGCTAATATTGAAAAGAAAATTTTCTACAAAAGATATTAAATTTTAAGAGACCTGCAAAAACGCAGGTTCAATGTTTTTGAGAAAACAGTGATTAATTAAAAAAATATAAAAATTCAAGTGAAACATGGGGAATGGTAAGGTTTATCTAGCTGTAGAGAATATCTTATGTTCGTGAAAATAGACAAGGAATGAAAGGTTACTGGATAGTATTTGGTAAACCTGTTTCTCCTTGAGTGTCTTCTTTCCTGCATGAAGATGGACGATCAGTGGGTTTTTCAGAAAGTCGTTCATCTCTCCTTGGCACTAATATGCATGTTTGTTTTACCTTGCAACTTTCATTGCTTGCACTTTCCTTTGAAACATTCTGCATATCAGAACGCAAAGGCTTAGAAAAGACTAATCTAAAAACTATATCATTATTCAGTGTGCTGAACAAATCAAAGCTAGATCAAACCTAATCCAAAACATTAAAGGCAAAATCTACAAAAAAAAAAATAAATAAATAAATAAACGCAAGTGACTAAGCAGAAGGAACAGAATAGATCACTGTGAGGTAACTCGGAAAAAAAAATAACATTAACACAGTATGACAGAAAAGCTAGCAACGTACCATTAAAGTTACTTAGTTCCAGCTTACCTAGCAAACTATGCTGAAAAAATATACGTTATTTTTTTGTATAGGGCAAAGCACAATTACCATCTTATAAATAAGTTGTGACATGGCAACAAAAAATTTAAATTAAATGATGAAAAAACATGAAATACGGCATGTATGAGCATGTGTTTGTAATTAACCAACATTCATAAAATCCTAATGATAATTTAGTTAGACATCAATAAATCAGACAATAAAAGTTAAGAAGGCACGAATGGTAATGCCCGAGATCTTACTTCTAGAGTTAATTTTTTTTAAAAGCAAGAAAATTGAACTTGCACCAAATGCAAAGCTCGATGCATACAAAACTTCATTTAAACTAAGTAATTTGTTGTATGTAAAGTAAGAAACTTTGCATCGTGCCATTCAGATCATCAATTAATGAAAATGGTAAACATGCTTGATTGATAAGTACAAAATTGTGTAAAACAATGAATTCTTATCACACAATTATGCAGATCAACGACTAAATATCACTGTAGATATCAATGAACTTTGATCTCACACATACAATTATCAACATGTTTGATCGGTGTGATTCAGTACTCGTAGAAATCAATGAATTTCAATTGATAACCAAATAATTATAAAAATCAATGAGTCAAGAATATGCATCATTGATAGCTAAATAATAGTAGAATTCATTATTGCCCAGCCTTATTCGTGCATGTTCTACCCTTTGCTATTAAAGGCATACCAACTAAGCCTATTTTCAAATTTTTTATCTTCAAGACATATAACTCAATCTCTCTTATATAATTATTAGCCGCTATATTATTCTTTAGATTTATAAATTATCCATCTCAGCATTGCCATTTCCATTTTACTCTGAAAATAATATTTTGTTGCTGAAAACACAAAGCATGATGGAACTAAAAGGAGTATTATAAGAATTTAATTTTGGGAATTCATAACATTTCGCACTTTGAAGGGCTATTTGGGATCAATTTTGTTTTTTGTTTTTTAGTTTTGAAAACAAAAAAAAAAAAGTAAAATAATGTTTGCTTATCTATTTTTTTTTTATTTCTATTTTTTTTAACACTTTTGATTTTAAAATACTTAAAACAGAAAAAATATATTTTTGTTTGTTTTTAAAACACCAAAAACAGCAAGTCCCGCCGCCCACGGTTGCCGCTAGCCGCCGATTTCTAAAGAAAATGCTATATTAATATTTCATGGCTAAACAAAAACAACAAGTCCCGCCGCCCACGGTTGTTAATCATATTATTTTAAAATTGTAATTTTTAGCAATTTCTAAAGAAAAGGCTACACTAATATTTCATGACACTTCTTCACAGCTAACCAGCCTTCATGTTTCTAGAAAAATAACGATATAGTTCATAATTATATTTATTTCGCCCTTTTAAAGAACTTCCTTAAAACTCATATTATTGCATAGTCTATTAATACCTAATGGTTCAAGAGGGTTGGCTTTCCATGCAGGAGACATTTGAATGATTAAAAAAATTGCATATAAAACAACAGTCAAAGGTGCAATGCTACTAAAGTATATTGGCCTTAACTAAATTTAGGCAACAAACATGTCCTCAGTCTAGTGAACGTTGTTATACTTTAGGGTCTGTTTAGGGCAGCTGCAGCTTCTCAGCTTTTTAGCTACAGCTGCAGCTACGCTGTCTCAGGAAGTTGCTTCGGGGAAGCTGTTGCGGTGAAGCTGACTGTCTGTTTGTTGCAGCTGTTTGAAAACAGCTGCAGACAGCTGTTTCTAGAATAGTGACCATTCTACCCCCTTTTACTAAAACTGTTTAAAACAGAACTGTGAAAACCACATATTTGATACGTCAGAAGCAGAAATTTATTTCAAAATAGAACAAAAGTTCAGATACACAACTCACCTAACAACGAGTACTAAAAGTGCTATAGATTTTTGTTTGGAATATTTACACAAATGTCACATACCAACTCTGGCATACAAATTTGAGAGTTCTACGTGGATACCAACATTATCCCGATCCAACTGAATTGCCCTGTGAAAAGCAAGCTTAGCAATCCTAACATTTCTATCAACCATCCCGGAAGAATCCAATCGGCTGAACAACACTCTTCTTTCCTTTCATGCGTCCTCCATCAACCTTCCCGGAAGAATCCAACTCTCACTTTTGTTGGCATGCATGCTAAAGTGATCCTTGACCTTACTAGATTGTCTTATGCAGCAACCAATACCCTCTATAGATTTGCATGAGCAAGCTATTAGATATTTGTGCATTAACATACTTATCCATTTTGTATATGGAAAATTTGATATAAGGGAAATTAATTGTTAGAGATTATATTAAGTTTTAAGGATATTTTAGCAAATCTATCTTTTGAAGTATTCCTAACAACATATTAAGTACGTCAGCTCCGAAAGGCTAGGAATGGTTATCTTTAGCAAGTAACAAGCATAAACATTTGGGTGCATGAGAAAAGGCAATCAAGGGCTCATCTCAAGTGGCTTCTTATTCTACAATAGCCAAGGGTTTCTGTCTTCTTTTTCTATTAATCAGGTAGGGCTTTCTTAGATCATAAGAATAAGAACAAGAAGCAGAGACAAAAAATCAAGAATGGGGATACTGTGCTTCTATTTTTGAATATTTGGGAGGTTTAATTTCTCTTCTCTTCACTTCTTGAGAAAGATTCCTCGAGTTTTGGTGAAAACTTGTCTACTCGCATAATCAATTTTCAAATAAAGACAACTTCATAAATGTTTCAACACTCCATGATAGTGGATCATTGATGACTCCTAGTGCCATTTAAACAGGTCAACTGTTATCAAACCACTTAATATGCATGATCATGGCGCTGCGTACCATTTTTCTGTTTGATGGGATTGTAATTAAGAAAAAAAATTGCCCTTTGAAAAGGCTGTTAGGTCTTTAGTTTTGCAAGAGGGCAGTGTGAGCCAACTTGTTCATATGGAGAAGAATCGCATGCACTTGGAGGCGTTCATAATCTCGCAACCAGGGCATGTTAAACCAGGAGAAAAAAATCCAATGTTCCAAACCTCTCAGCTGTGGAGAAAAAGGGAGTGGTAAAAGCAGAGAGGTTTCCATTTGATTTGCTGCCATTCGAAAATTGAAGCGAAGCAAAAGGAGGTAGTTTCATCAAGAGAGTCGTTGCCCTCGAGAGAGAGCAGCTGTCTCTTCTGTTCTCGTCCGACATCGGCTTCTTCGTCCTCGTCTCCAGGCATCTCTATCTCCGCAGCTACTGCAGCGGATCCTGTCCCCAGAGACGAATCACGGCGGGAAGGGCTGGAGAGGAATTGCTAAGGATAAAGCTAGTAGTAAAAGTGGACCATGGGAGGGATCCCGCGGCCCGCTTTCCGCTGCGCGTCGGAGTTGTCACGATCAAAACGTCGCCCCAAACGAAGGAGATTAGCAGGGGCCGCATGAAAAAATCCGCCCAAATGAGCCCTCACTCTATTGGTTCAAGAATATTTTCATAATCATATGCTTTTAAACTGCACCAGGGAAACAATGAAGTCTGAAAAACATGAGTAATTTATATTTGAAAATGACAAGAATATGCAAAACAAACAAATTACAAAAAGGTACTAAAGCCTATGAAAGTCCAAGTGTTTATCAACTTCTACAAGAATCAAGTGCATACCATTAAGGCGGAGCCTCTTCTCTTCTCCGAACGACGTTTGGAAGATGGGCTCAAGGAGTTACCAGTAAATAAAGTTCTTCTGCTTGGTTTTCCGTTGCCAGGTGTTCTCTGCCACAACATTACTCCCACTAATGAATTTCGAAAATATTAAAAGAAGAACTTTAAAAAATTATTTTGTGATGTGATTATGAAATTTCAAGAAATCAATAAGCTGAAAATTGGATAATATTGACACCATGAGATACATAGATGAAGTTCCCAAAAAAAATATTAAAATATTAATGTTTAAGGAAAGTTTTTTGAGAGTTCACTAGTTTTGTCACTCTTTGTTCTTATATGAAGATGAATGCTATACAAACAACTTGAAGTCAACATCTGTACAGAGTGAAAGACAATAAATTGAAGTCTGGCGTACTTTAAGTTACACAACACTTTTATGTATTTGTATCAATATTTAATAGAAGAAAAAAACAAAAGTCATTTGATTCTTCCCTCCATAATGATATGATAACTGTCCTGCAATTAGCCCATGCTTCGCAGAGATCCAAATCATTCAAATATTTATTCTAAAAGAGCATATAAATCTGTATACAAATTATGTTAGCAAAACAACTTGTGAAGATACCATCAAGAGAAAAACAATAATTCCCAACATATGCATGCTAAATCATCACTCGAGATTAGTACCTCCATTACATGGCTATACCTTCACCATAAGTACAAACACAAGATATTTTAATAAAGCCAATAAAATAAAAAATAAAGCACATAAATTATGTTTAAGCAAAATCATTTAAAAGATAATTGAGACTATAGTAAAACATTATATCTTAAAAAAACAGATGGCTCTTAGCATCAAGTATAAAATTAGATCTTCCCCCTCTCTTACTCTAATTCTGTATTTTTCGAAGGAAATTTACTCCTCAAATGACATTCCAAATAGCTCTTTGGTATTTTAAAAAAAATTAAGTACTCTTTAAGCAGCAATATAATGCCACTTTTTTTCTTTAATATTAAAAAAAAATTTGGTGACATGGCTAGTACTTAAGCAGAAACTCCATCGTTATTTCTGCTCCGTTGGTTATTGTTATGTCTACCTTCTCCCTTGGTGTGCTCAAACTGCTTCTTACTACCATTGAAACAGCATGAAGATCTACAAGATTAATTGGTCATTATTTTTCTTTTATGTTGATTCAATACTCTTACTTTATATGCTTGTAATCTATCATTTCAGACAACTGAATTTGGAACACATTATAAACTTCTTTAGTCTCTTCTACGCTTTTGTCTCTTAATGTTCTCTTGCTAGATTCTCCTGTCTTAGAACCATTGTGAAAGTTAAAAAAACATCATTTTTGGATATCATTTTATGGATATTTTTAATCTCTCCATAATTTTGTTACTCAGTTGGGCATTCTGCTTTCCAGCCTTCACATGTTTTTAATATCATTCCTCCTTTTCTATGCTCTTGTCTCTATTGTATTATTACTCTACAAGTCCGCTTTATTCTCACAGCTGTCAGCTGTTTGATGGATATTTTTTAAATTGATTCGTGTATACTCATTCCATAAGCTACTTAAGCATGCAACCTATTGGTTGATAGCTGAGTTATTTCACTTCCTCTTTCTTGCAAAAAACATTTGGGGTTAATTTGCAATAATGTAATTTCAGTAGAGGACTAATATATACATAGAACCTATAGCCATATTATAGAATTTAATTGTAGCATTTAAAACTCCAACCGTTTCAACTTATCTAGATAACTGGATGCAAGCAGTTAATATTACTATTGCATAGTTCCTAACATGCCAACAAAAACACAAAAGGTGCACTTAACTAGGTCCCTTTTGTACCATGATGAAAGTAGCATCCTCCACAATGCCTATGTGCATTACATATTGAAACCAGAGTGTTGAACTTTGGCTCATGAAAAAGCAACATTATAAATTTAGCTGTTGACACATTAAATATAACATGATTTCATAAAAACAGGACCAATAAAGAAAATAAAATCACCTGCAAATTTACCTGAGGCCCATTTTTAGCTGCCCTTTTCTGCCTAACGAAATCCATCAAGGGAGTAACTACAAGAACCTCCTTTGCAGGACCTAATCAAATGAAAATAGATGCAAATTATCTTTTAACGTTGAACAAGGATAGTGTTGAAATTACATTACTATGTGACAATGTACCAGCTCTTTCAGCTTCTCTCCTTTCAAGCTGAATATCCGCACTAGGCAGATTCTCTGCAGGCCTTGTAAGCAGCTCGAGAAACTCCAAATATTCAGGATCTACATATCCATGAAAAAGAATGCTTGTAAATAAAACAAAACAGACTATTTCATGCAAGAAATACAAAATTGAAAAGGCTAACATTACTTTGCAAAAGTAACTATAGTTTTGCTCAAATACCCTTGAATATAGTGCCTTCACGACTATCTTTCTTAGTCCATGGTTTCGGAACGCACTGAGATGGAGCATATTCTACCTGAACTTTAAACTGAGTTCCTGCTCCATAATAATTGACAACATAATTTATTTCATGAGAAAATATCACTTACTACAATAACAATTAACCATTTAAACATAAATGTTACAATGTTGCAAAGAATGTTTGACTCCTTAGTAGCATTTCAGAAAATTTTATGCTATACAAGAGTTCATCCAAAAATTACAGAGGGCAAGGGCTATCACATGCCACTCCCAGGTTCCTCCACTAATTAGAATAATAAGAAATATAGCTACTAAAGTATCAAACATTAACTTGACTATTTGGGATCAACTTTATGAATCTTCATGCCACAACATTATTGTTGACTAATGCTTGAAGCTTTAAATCTACTTTCCTTTACACAATAGTTAACTATGCTATCCCATTGATCTATCATTTTTCCTTCAATCCTTCCATATTAATTTTATACACCTTCTTAGATAACATTTCATGTCCTCCATAGTACATAATAGGTTTTGTTCCTGAAATCCCTCTCATGCAATTATTACCCAATAACCTCACTAATTTTATCACATATTCATTTTAACATGTTTATTTGCATCTGACTTGGCTTTGCTAAAAATGACTCTTTGTAGTTTAAAACTTCATTCAACTTAGGGTCCGTTTTGGGAGGGCTTTTCGCCTGCAGCATGGCTTCACACCGCGATTTAGCGACGTTTGGGGGGATTTTCGCCCGCGGCGCACCACAATTTTAGTAAGACGCGGGCCGCGAGTAGACCCCACGACCGGCGTTCAACTTAGGGTCCGTTTTGGGAGGGCTTTTCGCCTGCAGCATGGCTTCACACCGCGATTTAGCAACGTTTGGGGGGATTTTCGCCTGCGGCGCACCACAGTTTTAGTAAGACACGGGCCACGAGTAGACCCCACGACCGGCGTTTCTTCACTTTATTTTTACTGCGTTGAGCCTTCGCGATTCGATCTAACCTTCACATTCGTTGTCTAGCCTAACCTTCCACGCGGAACTCTCGCTTCCTCTGCCCTATTGTCCCGTTTCGCACGGTATCCCATTTCCCCATCTATTCTTGGTGGATTTACAAAATTTTTTAGATGTTTTAGATTCTCATTTCTTCCCTCAGCCGCTTGATGACTCTTGATGCGTTGGCTTTTGATGTTTATGTTCGATTTTTTTATGGTTTTGAGTGAGAATTTGATATTTCATGACAAATTTGAAAAGCTGCGGATAATGGAGGTGTTGTCAATGTGGTGATGATGTAGGTGGTGTTGGGGATGGTGATGCCGATGTGGCCGGAGGGGTCGAGGATGGTGGTGATGGAGCCCGTGATATTTGTGTTTCTATTTGTTGTGAATTTGAGAAGAAGAGAAGGTGGTGATGGAGTTGGTGTTTCTGTTTACTGTATATGTGAATCTGTTTGTTGTGCTGGGTGTTGGGTTTTTGTTGTCTAGTGTTAGATTTGTGGTTGGCCAGTGTTGGATTGTTGTGTCGTTGTGTTGGTCAGTGTTGTGTGGTTTTGTTCTTATATTGTCAGTGTTGTTGTGTGAATAGAGAATAGATTTGTTCATATATCGGTTGGTTAGGAATTCAATTTTTGAATGGGGGGAGAATGGGCATTGTTTGACAACAACAACAAATCCTTGATCCCACTACATGGGGTTGACTACATGAATCCTTTTTCTCTATAGCATCCTATTTAGTGTCATATTTTCATTTAGTTCTAGTAAATTAAGATCAACTTTATACAATAAGCCCAAGTCTTCCTAGGTCTACCTCTGCCTTTCTTAACATAAGTCGAATCTAAAACATCTACTCTCCTAATTGAATCATCACATAGTCGATGTTTAATGTGACCAAACCATCTAAGACGACTTTCTCTAATCTTGTCCATCACAAGTGCTACACCAAACCTATCACGGATATATTCATTTCGCATTTTGTCTCTAAGTGTAAAGCCACTCATCCGCCTAATCATTCTCATCTCGGCAACACTTAACTTATTATTATGTTTCTCTTTTAAAGGCCAACATTCAACGCCATAGAGCATTGCAGGTCTCACCACCCTCTTATAAAATTTTCCTTTCAGTGTAAGTATAACTTTTCTATCACACAAAAGGCCCGAAGTCCACTTCAACCAACCACTTCAACCAACCAACTTGAATTCTACTATTAACATCCCCATATCTATCACCATTGTTTTGAACAACAAACCTGAGATATCTAAATTGTTCACACCTTTTAATAATTTGATCACCCAAAGTCACACTTCTGTCACTAGAGCTACTACTACTAAAATTATATTCCATGTATTCAGTTTTAGTTCTACTTAAATGAAGGCCTTTAGACTCCAATGTAGACCTCCATAATTCATGTTTTTCTTGCATTTTTTTCTCTCGTCTTATCCCCGAGAAGAATATCATCAGCAAAAAGCATACACCAAGGTACATCCTCTAACGTAAATTCTCCTGTATATGTCCAGTAAGACCATCCATAACTAAAGCAAAAAGATATGGGCTTAAAGTCAATCCCTAATGTAATCCAACAAAAATAGGAAAATATTTGGTCAATCCTTCTTCAATTCGAACACAAGTAACAACTCCAGTATACATATCTTTAATGACTTGAATATAAATCATATCAACACCTTTCTTCTCAAGAACT